AACAAGTGGTAATCTACGTGATGAAGACAATGTATGCAGTTATTGGTAGATTAACAGCACAAATTTGCAGATACACACATACACACATATATACACATACGCAAGAGACATTACTTACAAACCAACTCTTTAACTTTAGACTGATTTTAACTTTGCATGTTTAATAATATGGGAAGTTTTTAAGGATTATTTAATCTCTAATACTTGTTTAGTTATTGATTTTAATTATTTTTATGTATATTTTTAATACGATGTAGGTCCATCCTGGAGAAAGGCGGCATAGAAATAATAAATAAATGGGTTGTAGGCTTTTTGGGCTAAATGGCCATGTTCTAGAACATGGCCATATAGTCCGAAAAACCTATAACAACCCAGTAATTCCAGCCATGAAAGCCTTCGACACTACAAAAATTAAATGAATAAATAAAAATAATTCTTCAATTTCAACAAAGCAGTTAAAGGAGCACAATCTAGATTTATCTACATTGCTTTGGCTGCAAATGATTTCAAATAATATGAATGAAGTTACTGGAAGACTGCATTACATAATCACAATATGAATGTTATATGTTTGTATCGGAGAATCTTACAGGACTTTAAAAAGGCACACTTTCAAGATACATTTGAAAGGCAGCTGTCATAGATCCAAAGGGAGAGTGTTCTATTGTCAGGCACTAAGGAGATTGTATTTCTCATTCCTATCATGGTTTTCCTATCAGGATTTTCATAGAAGATTTAAAAGTGTGTAGCAACTTCTGGAAGGAAATGGATCTTTAAACAACTTGGTCCCAAAGCATTTAGGGCTGTATGATATCCAGGTAAGATACTTCCTCAGGACCTCGCTGAATCTAGAGAATTTCTTGTTGTGTACTTTGAAGTAATTTCTAACTTATGAAAACCCAAATGAAACCCTATCACAAAGCTTTCTTGGCAAGATCTGTTTAGAGGGATTTGCATTTTGTCTTCATCTGAGACTGAGAGACTATGACTTGCCCACGGTCATGCAATGAGTTTCCATGACTGAGTCAGCGATATTAGCTTCTCAACAAACTACAAATCCCAGAATTCCATAGCCTTGGTCCATGGCAGCTAAAGTGGTGTCGAGCTGCATGTAATTTGTCATGTAAATGTACCTAATGCAGGCATGGGCAAACTTTGGCCCTCCAGGTGTTTTGGACTTCAAGTTCCACAATTCCTAACAGCTAACATTGTGAGCCAACAATGTGATGTAGCGGCAAAAAAAGCCAATGAGATTTTGGCCTGCATAAATAGGAGTATAGTGTCTAGATCCAGGGAAGTAATGCTACCCCTCTATTCCGCCTTGGTTAGACCACACCTGGAATATGTGTCCAATTCTGGGCACCACAGCTGAAGACAGATATTGACAAACTGGAATGTCTGCAGAGGGCAACTAAAATGATCAAGGATCTGGAGAACAAGCCCTATGAGGAGCGGCTTAAAGAGCTGGGCATGTTTTTCCTGAAGAAGAGAAGGCTGAGAGGAGACATGATAGCCATGTATAAATAAGTGAGAGGAAGTCATAGGGAGGAGGGAGCAAGCTTGTTTTCTGAAGCCCTGGAGATTAAATGATAAAGGGTCTGGAGAACAAGCCCTATGAGGAGCAGCTTAAAGAGCTGGGCATGTTTAGCCTGAAGAAGAGAAGGCTGAGAGGAGACATGATAGCCATGTATAAATAAGTGAGAGGAAGTCATAGGGAGCAAGCTTGTTTTCTGCTGCCCTGGAGACTAAAATGATCAAGGGTCTGGAGAACAAGCCCTATGAGGAGCGGCTTAAAGAGCTGGGCATGTTTTTCCTGAAGAAGAGAAGGCTGAGAGGAGACATGATAGCCATGTATAAATATGTGAGAGGAAGTCATAGGGAGGAGGGAGCAAGCTTGTTTTCTGCTGCCCTGGAGACTAGGACATGGAACAATGGCTTCAAACTACAAGAAAGGAGATTCTATCTGAGCATTAGGAAGAACTTCCTGACTGTGAGCGCCGTTCAGCAGTGGAACTGTCTACCCTGGAGTCTGGTGGAGTCTTTGAATGCAATTTTCCTACTTCTTGGCAGGGGGTTGGACTGCATGGACTCAAGGTCTCTTCCAACTCTAGGATTCTAATTCCTAACAGGCCAGGTCCTTTCTTTTTCCTCCTCAGCTGCTTAAGCTGAGGAAAGGGCCTGGCTTGTTAGGAATGGTGGGAGTTGGAGTCCAAAACACCTGGAGGGCCCAAGTTGACCAATGCCTGTAATAGCTCTTACCATTAATGTTTCCTAATGTTTTGGTGGAATCTCTAATTTTTTTAGTGATCCCTAATGTTGTGTAGACTCGAATCCTTTTGTAGTTCAGCTTCCTCGCATACTCACCAAACCCCTCAAGGCCTGGTTGTGTGTGGAGACAGTGATGGGAGGTAAAAAGGGGCGATTCAATGACGACGGCCTCGCCTTCGCTGTGGTTTGACCCGTTTCCGTCCCCCGTGAGAGGCTGAGGAGGAGAAAGAGGCCTCTGCTCTCTCTCTGAGGGAATTCTCCTAAGCCGGCCCCACTCTCCTGAGGAAAAGCGAGGAAGCACAGCAGCAGTGTTTACCTCATGGCGACGATGGAGGAGGAGACGGATGGGGAGGAGTCCGAGGAAAAGGGAGGAGCAAGGCGATGCCATTCGCTCCCAGGCCTCACTGCCCTCCTTCTCTTCCCGCCCAGACTGTAGCCAGGCAGGCTGGTTGTTAGGAATGGTGGAAGTTGAAGTCCAAAACCTCCTGAACTTTGCCTATTCCTGGTATTAAAGCGAAGGCAATCTGCATTCATTCTACAGCCCTATTGATTTTTTATTTCGCGTAAGAAGCATTGCATAAATAAATAAGTTTAAAAACTGATAAAATAAAGGAGTTACATAATTTTAGACCCAAAACGGGCAACAGCGACCGCATTGTCTGTAGCTTTCAACAGTTCTTCCAACAGTTATCAGGAAATATTCTAAGATCTACAGCAGTGGTTCTCAACCTTCCTAATGCTGCGACCCCTTAATACAGTTCCTCATGCTGTGGTGCCCCCCCCCCAACTATAAAATTATTTTTGTTGCTACTGGTGGGGTGGGGGATTGATTTTGACATTTGGGATTTATAGTTCACCTACAATCAAAGAGCATTCTGAACTCTACCAGCGATGGAATTGAACCAAACCTGGCACACAGAACTCCCATGACCAACAGAAAATACTGGAAGGGTTTGGTGGGCATTGTACTTGAGTTTGGGAATTGTAGTTCACCTACATCCAGAGAGCACTGTGGACTCAAACAATGATGGATCTGGACCAAACTATGCCCACATGTCAACACTGGTGAAATTTGGGGAAAATAGACTTGACATGTGGGAGTTGTAGTTGCTGGGATTTATTGTTCACCTACAATCAAAGAGTACTCTGAACCCCACCAATGGTAGAATTGGGCCAACTTCCCACACAGAACCCCCATGACCAACAGAAAAGACTGTGCTCATCCCCTGTTTGGGTACCAGCCAGCACGTCAATGACTTAAATCAAGAAATAGTTTACTAAGATCTACAGAGACACTCGCTGGAACACCTCAGCAAGCGAGAGTCCAAAAGTGGCAGGCTCAAACCCAGAACCTCAATCCATGGCTGATACTGAATGAGAGACTCCCTTCTGGGCACACAGAAGGCAGGGTGACTTGGAAGGCACTGAACAGACTGTGCTCTGGCACCACGAGAATGCAGAGCCAACCTTAAGAAATGGGGATACAAAGTGGAGTCCACGACATGCGAGTGCGGAGAAGAGCAAAACACTGACCACCTGCTGCAATGCAACCTGAGCCCTGCTACATGCACAATGGAGGACCTTCTTGCAGCAACACCAGAGGCACTCCAAGTGGCCAGCTACTGGTCAAAGGACATTTAATCAACTACCAAGCTTGCAAACTTTGTGTTTTGTTTGTTTGTTTGTTAAAAAATGCAATGCAACTGTTTGGTCTGCCCCTAACACGATAAATACATAAATAAACAATTCTTCCTCTTGAGCCCGAGCGCGGCAGGGAGCCCCGCCTTCACATTGGTGTGAACCGCAGCGGAGAGTTCCGCAGTTCCTGGGTCAAGTTTTGGGGACCAACAGATGAAATGTGCCCCAGCAGCCAGCTCAAAACCAGGAATGCCTGCAACTTTCCTTTGCTTTCCCCTTCTCCCTACTTTGTATCAATTTCCCTAATAAAGGTACTTGAAACTTGCAACTTTTTATCTCTCCGCTTGATACTTTTGTATCTTTCCTGACTCAAACTATAACAACACTAAAATAAACCTTTTTCCGGGCTCCGGAGAGCCGTGAGCCCGCGGGAGGCGCCTCCGGGCGCCCCCGGGACCCCGAATCTGCGTCCGTTCAAACCGCGGATACGGAAACCGCCATTTCAGACCCCCTTATCCGCGAAAAATCATAAAATGGCGGATCGCTGCCGTTTCAATTTTATATTTTTCTGCTACTAATCCTAAGCCTAACTGCTATCTCCCTTTTCTCATTTTGGGCTCCTACACCTGGGAATAAATTGTTTTGTTCCAAGTATTTTACTTTGACAGAAATCAGCTGTTTGCCAATTTGGCCGGGTTCTTCCCAGACAGTTCATTCCTTCTCAGCGGTACTCACTCCTGCCTGGATCCAGCAACCGGGGACCCACTGCGGCCACCCGCAGGAGACCCCGGGAAGGCAGCCAGGCGTGGGTCCCGGTCTCTGACCTGGGAGACATAGTTTTCCAAAGGACAGACAAGGACACTGCCCCACCATTGCAACCCGGAAATCCTCCTTGGACTCTTTTTGCCCTCTCCTATTGACTTTCTGCTCCACGTCCCGGACTGTTTCCAGCCATATCTTTGGACATGAACTTTCAGACCAGGCTTGCCCTGAAGGGCAGGCAGCCTCCGTTTCCGCGCGCCTTCATAGAGGGACCATGAAATTCCCGTTCTTCTTAATAAAGATCAAATAATTTTTAATAAACTTTGCTTGGGGTGGGGATGGGATTGCCATATGGAATATATGAAATGTATGTAATGAAATATCATATAGAATGTACTGTGTTTCCCCTTCCCGCCTTTCCCTTTGACCCTTGCCCCACAAAGATGTGACCTGGGGATTACTGTCGTGAGGAGGAACTCCTTTGTCCTCCCGAAAATCTCCTTAATTGTTCCATTTGCATGGGCCGTACTGTTGATCCCCCCGACCCTAGCCATCGGAGCAGACCAGCGAAGGGAGGGGGTCAGCAGAAACTCGGAAACAAAGACTGATTTAATCAACCAGGTATTGTTGATCCCCCTTTGAGGTCCGATATCGAAAAAGCCTTTTCATATTTCCTCCCAAATCCCATCAACAGACCAGGAAACTCATTGTCCCCCTATCTGACACTCCGCCAAGTGAGGACAAAGCCTCACATTCCAGCTGGCGGATGCCCTTAAGGCTGTCATTTCCTCAGTCTTTGTCAGGCTTCATCCCGCCTCCTAGCTGCCGATTGGTCCATCTTCCAAGGCGCTAGGAAGGCGCAGTTTGGCCTCCCAGAGGCGGCGGAGCCCGCTGATTGGACCAGAGGCGGGGCGTGCCGCCAAGCCTCCTCCCAGCTGTTCCGCGGCCAGCCAATCAGGACGAAGCCGGCCGGCAGAGGGCGGGCGGGAATTTTGAAACTGTTTCCCTTTGTCTGAACCTTATAAAATGCTTGGAAAATTCTGTAAAATCATGCTTGTAGGTGAATGATCACCACAATCGCATCCTTTTCAGCTGAATCGCAGAATAAACGCCTCGGTCACTGAACCTCTTCCGCCTCTGGTGAGATTAATTTTCAAAATATTTTTGTCTTCTTTGGATTGGCTTCGCTGGCCTCACCGAGGTTCGAGGACCCTTTTGGGCGGTCCTAAGGGATCTCTCTCACTGGGAGACCCCCACAAAAGAGCTCGATATCACTCTGTGCATGAGGCAGGGCATTGTGAGCAAGCATGCAGATGCAGAATTGTTCGTTCTGCTCCACAGCCGCACAAGGTAGAGGATTCTTTTTAGGCACAGTGTTCCCTCACTTATTGTGGGGGTTACGTTCCAGGACCACCCACGATAAGTGAAAATCCACGAAGTAGGGACGCTATATTAATTTTAATATTTATACATTATTTTATATATTATTTCTTACCCACGCTTCCTTACCCACCTTCCGGTCCATCCCAAGGGCGCCTGCCTTCCTCCCTGGCCTCCACAGACCCCAGCAGAGCCTCCGGAGCCATTCAGGCCAGCACACTTAAAGAGTCCCTGGCCTCTCTGGCCTCCACTGGACGTAAATATTTTATATTTTATATTTCTATTAATATTTTCAAAAACCCGTGAAACAGCGAGTCTGCTAAAAGGGAACCGCAAAGTAGCGAGGGAACACTCCTCTAGAGCAACAAAACCAAGCTTGCTCCAACTTCAACATGTTACCTCTTAGCCTTCTCTTCTCCAAGCTAAATATACCCAGCTCTCTAAGTTGCTCCTCATAGGGCATGGTTTCCAGATACTTTACTATTAAGTGAAAGGGTCACATTCCTCTGTGAAAGAATATCCTTGCCAGGTTGTCTTTGTGATCTGCCAACTCCACTTCTGAGTGTTCAGGGACTTCTTAATTTGCCCCTGGAGGAAGACCCAGGTGTGGTGGAGGCTTCTTCTTTGGAGGCTTTTAAACAGAGGCTGGATGGCCATCTGTCAGGGGTGGTTTGAATATGATTTTCCTGCTTCTTGGCAGGGGGTTGGACTAGATGGCCAACTGTATGATTAATGCTGAACACTGTGAAAGCCACCCACTGTACGGCTATCAGACTCCTCCCAGAAGATTCAAATCAAGGAAAAGCTTCATTAGAGCCACCACTCCTTTTAATGTTCCTCTAGAAACAGCAAGATTATCCCCGTAGACAGGAAAATCGGTCAATTCCAACTGGATGCCCCCCTACAAGGGTCATAGATTGGGCTTGGCCTCATTGAAGCCGCCCTGAGTCCTGCAGGGGAGATGGTGGGGGGTATAAATAAAGTTTATTATTATTATTATTATTATTATTATTATTATTATTATTATTATTGATGACACAAAAGCATAGTATGTCACAGCACACGAGATCTATATGCTGGATTTCGTATCACAAAATTATGCCAGAGCCTTTGCAGTTCGATTTTGAGGTCTTGATAGCGGCTAAGTTTTTCCTGTTGTTTTTCCTCAATGCGACTTGTCACCTGGAATGGTGACATCAATAATCCAGACTTTTTTTCTTTTCCACAATCGTGATGTCTTGTGTATTGTGTTCCAAAACTTTGTCAGTTTGGATTCGAAAGTCCCACAGTATTTTTGCATGCTCATTTTTCACGACCATTGCAGGTTTATGATCCCACCAATTTTTTACTGGTAGTACTTGTGACATAAGTTCCAGTGAATCATCTGGGCCACAGAGTTGTGTCTTTGTTTGTAGTCCGTCTGTGCGATTTTCTTGCAACAGCTGAGGATATGATCCATGGTTTCATCAGCTTCCTTGCACAGTCTGCATTTTGGGTAATCCGTTGATTTTTCAATCATATTATTATTATTATTATTATTATTATTATTATTAAAGGGCCTGCGGCTGTTAGGAATTGTGGGAGTTGAAGTCCAAAACACTAGGAGGGCCCAAGTCAGCCCATGCTTGACCAAAGGTGAGGCTGAGAGATATTTAGGATAAGAACAGTGTTTGAGCTCATAACTTTCCCAGAATTATTATTATTATTATTATTATTATTATTATTATTAAACAACTTTATTTGTACCCCGCTAGCATCTCCCGAAGGACTCGGTGTGGCTTACAAAGGCCTCGGCCTCAAACAACAACAGACAATAACAATATAATACAAATAAATTAAAAACATAAGCAATAACAACAGCATTACACTATTACGCAATAAAACCAGGGCCGGGCCAATGAAGGGTACAGGTTAAAAAGTGCTGGGTGTAAGAGGTGATATGTTGGGGTTCTGGGCAAGTGCAATGTGCAGAGAGTCTTAAGCTCTAATAAAGTGCTTCTGGGATGTAGTGCTGGAGGTTATCCTATTCCGGAAAGGCACATCGGAATAGCCAGGTCTTCAAGTTCTTCCTAAAGACCTGCCAACGTGGGTGCTAGTCTAATGTCTTTGGGGAGGGTGTTCCAAAGTCGGGGGGCAACCACAGAGAAGGCCCTGTCCCTCGTCCCCACCAAACGAGCCTGTGACGCAGGTGGAATCGTGAGCAGGGCCTCTCCGGATGAACGGAGGGAGCGCGTGGGTTCATATACGGAGATGCGGTCACGCAGGTAGGCAGGTCCCAAACCGTTTAGGGCTTTGTAGGAAAACTTTCAGTGTGCTGCTGGCTTCAAAGTTAGGTAGGTGGAAAGCACACACTTGCGTCTTAGGCTTCAGATGGTTTATCTTTGTGTATAAATACGTGAGAGGAAGACATAGTGAGGAGGGAGCAAGCTTGTTTTCTGCTGCCCTGGAGACTAGGATGCGGAACAATGGCTTCAAACTACAAGAAAGGAGATTCCATCTAAACATTAGGAAGAACTTCCTGACTGTGAGAGCCGTTCAGCGGCTTCAGCCCCCCCCCCCCCCGAAATTCTCATGGTGGTTCGCGAAAAGGCCTTACTGGTACATTATTTAAACTGTTATGTTTATTCATATCATGATCTGATCACCATGCTCAATATATCCCATATGCATGGGGGTATTGGGGTAATGATACAAAAGGTTTGCTAGGCTAGACCCTCTTTCACTCAGACTCAGCCCCCCCCCAAAACTCAGCCCCCCCGAAACCCCCTCAGCCCCCCCCCCCGAAACGAAATCCTGGCTACGGGCCTGATTCCATCTGAACATTAGGAAGAACTTCCTGACTGTGGGAGCCGTTCAACAGTGGAACTCTCTGCCCCGGAGTGTGATGGAGGCTCCTTCTTTGGAAGCTTTTGAACAGAGGATGGGTGGCCTCTGAAATTTGAATGCAATTTTCCCGCTTCTTGGCAGGGGGTTGGACTGGATGGCCCATGAGGTCTCTTCCAACTCTGTGATTCTATGAGCTGGACTCCTACTGATGCGCCCTAAGGAACCTGGGACTGGGGCGCGCGCGCCTGGTGTTGCCGGGACTACTCCTCCCATGAGCCCTTGCCACAGCAGGCAAGGGCGAGGCATGACGGGAGCCGTAGTCCAGCGGCGTAGGCGAAGGGGTCCGGCTAGAGTAGAGGGCGAGGAACCAGGGAATGCCGGAAGGAGACGAAGGAGAGAGAGAGATTGAGAGAGAGAGGCCTTCGGAAAGGAGAGCCTGAGAGGGAGAGAAGGAGAGGCGGGGGAAGAAAGGGCGAGGATTACTGGGAGGCGGGACTGGGAGCACTGGGCGGAGAGTCCAGACCGGAGCAGCTGCTTGGGATTTTATTTTGTTCCTGACAGGATTGTGGTGTTTCCTTCCGTCTGCGAGGGAGACCACAAAGTCCGGAGCGAGAGACTTCCTTCGAGGGACAACCTCCTGAGGAGAAAAGCGTCCCCTCGCCTTTGTCGTCGGGGCCCCATGCTGTTGGGCGGGAGGCGTTGCTCCAAGTAAGAAGGAGAGAGGAGAAGGAGAGAGGAGCGAAGACGGCTGGGAGGAGGAGGATTTGCCCAGAGCCTCCTCCGATTCCTCCTCTGGCTCCGGCTCCTGCTCCTTCCCCGCCACCGCCGCCGCCGCCATGGGGCTGCAGCCCTTGGAGTTCAGCGACTGCTACCTGGACAGCCCCTGGTTCCGCGAGAGCGTCCGCGCCCACGAGGCCGAGCTGGAGAAGACCAACAAGTTCATCAAGGAGCTGCTCAAGGACGGGAAGAACCTCATCGCCGCCACCAAGAGTGAGTCCCCGCCGAGGGAGGGAGGAGGCAGGCGGGCCACTGGTTAGAGCAGCGTTTCTCAACCTGGGGGTCATGAGGGGGTGTCAAAGGGGTCGCCAAAGACCATCAGAAAACAGTATTTTCTGTTGGCCATGTGGATTCTGTGTGGGAAGTTTGACCCAATTCTATTGTTGGTGTTCAGAATGCTCTTTGATTGTAGGTGAACTATAAATCCCAGCAACTACAACTCCCAAATGTCAAGGTCTATTTCCCCCAGACTCCACCAGTGTTCACGTTTGGGCATATTGAGTATTCATACCAAGTTTGGTCCAGATCCATCATTGCGTGAACCCACAGTGCTCCTCTGGATATAGGTGAATAATAATAATAATAATAATAATACTTTATTTATACCCCGCTACCATCTCCCCATGGAACTCGGTGCGGCTTACATGAGGCCGAGCCCACAATAAAACAATACAAGCAATAACAGATACAATACAAAACAATTAAAGTAAATCTCATACACAAAAAGCATAAACATTAAACAGAATACAGTGCACATTTAAAACCTATAGCTTGGCCAAATGTAATTAAAGTTTAAAAAATAATGCTAGGCATGAACAAGATACAGGAGGTGGGGCATTGATAGAGACATACAAGCAGTCCTAAATCAATATAAAGTGCTTTTTGGGGGACATAATGCTAAGGGTTCGTTATTCTGGGAAGGCACACTGGAACAACCACGTTTTCAAGCTCCTCCTGAAGACTGCCAGAGATGGGGCATGCCTGATGTCCTACAACTCCCAATCTCTGATGAACTACAACTCCCAATCTCAAGGTCAATGCCCACCAAACCCTTCCAGTGAGTTTTCGTGCCAAGTTTGGTCCAGATCTATCATTGTGTGAACCCACAGTGCTCCTCTGGATATAGGCGAACTATAACTCCCCATCTCAAGGTCAATGCCCACTAAAACCTTCCAGTGTTTTCTGTTGATCATGGGAGCTCTGTGTGCCATGTTCGGCTCAAATTCATTGCTGGTGGAGTTCAGAGTGCTCTTTGTTTATAAGTGAACTATAAGTCCCAGCAACTACAACTCCCAAATGTCAAGGTCTATTTCCCCCAGACTCCACCAGTGTTCACGTTTGGGCATATTGAATATTTTTGCCAAGTTTAGTTCAGATCCATAATTACATGAATCCACAGTACTGCTCTGGATATAGGTGAACTAAAACTCCCAATCTCAAGGTCAATGCCCACCAAACCCTTCCAGTGTTTTCTGTTGGTCGTGGGAGCTCTGTGTGCCAAGTTTGGTTCAAATCCATTGCTGGTGGAGTTCAGAATGCTCTTTGTTTATACGTGAACTATAAATCCCAGCAACTACAACTCCCAATTGTCAAGGTCTATTTTCCCCAGACTCCACCAGTGGTCACGTTTGGGCATATTGAGTATTTGTGCCAAGTTTAGTTCAGATCCATATTTGCATGAATCCACAGTACTGCTCTGGATATAGGTAAACTACAACTAGGAAGGTTGAGAACCACTGGGTTAGGGCTAGCCATGCGTGTGGAGCCTCCCGAGAACATATTTCACTGGCCTTGGGGAAGTTTTCCCCTAATGTTTAGGTGGAATCCCTTTCCCTGCAATTTGAACCCAGCACTCCTGTAATGCATGCATAATTGGAGTGCAGCCAGGCTGAGTGGTGACAAAGTCCATTCTTCTTCCCATACGCCACGGGAATCCCTCTCTGCTATCTCCCTTCCTTCCCCACTCTCCTTCTCTGTCAATCCCTCTTTCCCCTTTTCTCACTCTTCTTCCCCTGCTCTTTTTCCTTATTTCTCCCGCGCCCCTCATGTTTTATTTATTTACTTTATTTATATCCCGCCTTTTTCAACCCCGTAAGGCAGTGGGTCCCCAGATGTTTTGGCCTCCAACTTCCAGAAATCCTAACAGCTGGTAAACTGGCTGGGATTTCTTGGAGTTGTAGGCCAAAACACCTGGAGACCCACAGGTGGAGAACCACTGCCATAAGGGAAATCAAGGCGGCTTACATATATAGGCAACAATTTGATGCTATGTAAAACATACATATATAATAAAATAAACATATATAATTATATGTTTATTTTTTGTTTACTTCGTGTTTATTTCATTCTCTTCCTCTCTTCCATTCCCTCCCCCTCTCTCTTCCTTCCTCTCCCTCTATTTCTCTCTCCCTCCCATCCCCCTCCTCTCTTCCTCTCCCCTTCTCTCCTTTCAGTCTCCCTCTTTCTCTCCTCTCCCTCTTTCTTTCTCTCTCCATCTCTCTTCCTCTCCCCTTCTTTTCTCTCTCCATCTCTCTGCTCCCTCTTCTTTCTCTCTTTCCCTCCTCTTATCTTTCCCTCTCATTTCTCTACTAGCTCCCCTCTCTCACTCCCTCTTTCTTTCCCCCTCTCATTCTATTTCTCTCTCCCATCCTCTTCCTTTCCCCTTCTCTCCTTTCAGTCTCCCTCATTCCCTCCTCTCCTTTCTTTCCCTCCCTCTTCTCTCTCCCATCTCTTCTCTCTCCCGCTTTCTCTCTTCCTTTCTCCTTCTTCTCTCTCTTTTGTCCTCTGCCCCTTCTTCTTTCTCTTTCCCTCCTCTCCTATCTTTTTCTCTCCCATTTTCTCTCCCTCTCTCTTTCTCTCTTCCCCTCATCTCCCTATCTTCTCTCCTCTTCTCTCTACCATCTCATCTCCCCCCTTTCTTTCCCCTTCTTTCTCCTTCTCTCTCTCCTTCCCTCTGCCCCCTTCTTTTCTTTCCCTCTTCTCAGGGCCTGACATCTCTCTCCCTCTTTCTTTCCCCTCTCCCTCCCTCTATTTCTCTCTCCCTCCCATCCTCCTCTCTCTTCCTCTCCACTTCTCTCCTTTGAGTCTCCCTCTTTTCTTCTGTCTCTTTCCCTCCTCCCCCTATCTTTCTCTCCCCCTTCTCTCTTTCTTCCCTCTTTCCTTTCTTCTTTCTCTCTCTCTCTTTCCCCCCTTCTTCTCTCTCTCCTTCCCTCTGTCCCCCTCTGTCCTGCTCTCTCTCTCTTTCTTTCCTTGCCCCTACAAGGTCCGCAGGCGCTGCAAGGAGCGTACTGCAACTTGGGCTGCTGCTGCTGCTCCAAGTCGCCTGCCTGCCTGGCAGAGAAAGGGCGGGCACCTTGCAAAACGTTTAGGGTTTCCTGGCAGGGCCACAAAGGTGCAAAGTCTGCCGAAGCAGTCGAGGCTCCTTTGAGGGAAAGTGGATGCTTCAGGCTTTTGCAATACCAGTTGAGCATGCCTTCTCCGGAGTTCCAAAAGACTCCAGAAATCAAAAACATGGGTGGTTCACATTGAAATCCTAGAAATCAAAACATGGGTGGCTTCGCTTTGAACCCAAACTTTGTTTCATGCACACATTTATTAAACAATATTGTGTATAAGGTCACATATGTGGGTGAAGTATGCATGAAATGTAATTTTGTGTTTCTATTTGGACCTCATCTCTTTATGTCTCATTATGTAGGTGTACGTAAATATAGGTATTCCAAAACCCAATTCCCTTCTAATCACAAACATTTCACCAAAGGGCAATCGCTGTAATACCTTTTTGAGGACAACATAAACACACAGAATTGTGTGCAAACTTTGCTTCCTTATATTGGCAATCAAACACTTCAGCATTCTTCTTCACACCCTAAGATCAGTCCACTTCTAGTTGCAAAGAGTGTGACTTACTCTACTTAAGAAACGTCCATGACTTGTGAAGGGGAATTGTATTTAATCATGCAGTTTAAATAAAAAGCTAACCAGCACAAGTGCTGCTCAAAGTTTGGAACAGGGAACTTAAAAACACCAAAAAGCATCCCCATAAAAAGGAATAACTTTCTGTTGAGAGCATGGTTGTTCATACTAATAATTTTTACAGCATATTTTTTATGGAGAGGAGGTCTTTTAACAGGGAAAATGTCAAATTCCTATTATTTTTGACAGTATGAAAAAATGGGTTAAAAGTCTGGCTAGCTGTTCAGTATGTCAACACAACACTTGCTTTCTAGTATCAAATCTTGGTCCTGTTCCATTAAACAAACAGAATTTTCCTACAAGTGTTCCTGGTTGTCATTCTAGTATTTGCTAAGCAACATTTATGATGTTGATATGTATGCAAAATATGGTTAATTTAACAGGCTTTGTGGTTTTCAAAAATGTTTTTAAGAATTTTTGTTATGTCACCAGTGGGCATGAAACATTATTGATATAAATAAAGTTTTAGGAATGTACACATAGTGTAACTTTTTTGGCATTTAGGCACTTGTATTGTCCACAAATCTGAGTAAGCGTAAACACATTTTAATATGCTCTTTAAAGAGGAGGATGTTGTGGGGGAATTCAGCGGCTTATGATTTTACTTTAGTTTATACAACCAGTAGGGAAGCATTCTAATTTTTCTTTGTCGAAGGCCACAATCTTTTGTCTCTATGACCCAGATCGGAAGAAAAAACTACCAGACATGTAGTTTCCCCATGATAAGTGTGTGCTTATGTTCACAATAAGCTTTGGGAAATGCAATATAAGATTCAGTGGACTACAGAAGTTAGTGGTCTCAGTAGTGTAACATTTTTCTGTACTTTTTATTGACTGGTCTTTTCAGAGTTACTGTGTGTTTATGAGCTACTGGCTTTGCAAGGCTATAGTATAAGAGATGTTATGGCATGGAGTGAGTTGGTTTGGCTTTCACAACAGTTCTCTGGAGTCTTTTTTGGGTGACAAACATACAAGTACATCTGTTTGAAGGCTGCTGATTACAATACCTGAGCAAACTGCTTAACAACAACAACAACTGGTTAAAACTGCTTAACTGGTAAAATACATTAACAGGATTGAAGTCCAAAATTGGCAAAAGTGTACTGTAGGAACATCTACCTTTAAATCGGAGACCACTTTGACCGGGGACCACTCTCCAACATTAGTACCAAAAGAGTTGTGAATCAGTTTTTGTCAGCTTTAGATTCAATTTGGTTCTTTGGGGTGCTGATTCAGAA